CTTGACCTTGGCTGCAGGGACCTGAATTTTGTGCGCGACACTCCGCCTCACAATGGTGAACATTTGTGCCAAGTTATATTGAAATCCCTCTATGCATGTGGAAGTTTTGCTCCGGACAAGCGTTTTTCAATGAGCTCTAAGTGTGACCTTGACCTTTGACCTAGAGACCTAGTTCATGTGCGTGACATGGCTTCTCATAATGGTGAACATTTCTATGAAATTTCATTAAAATCCCTCCATGCGTGTAGGAGATATGCTCCGGACAAAATCTGGATATTTCATCATCTTTAGTGACCTTGACCTTGTATATATTGACCTAAATTATATGTATCACAGCCATAGTCTTGATAATGACCATTTGTGTTACAATCCCTCAATAAATGATGATTAAATCGTCCCTATACACATCTTCATATTTTTATCTAAACTTTGACCTCTATGTGTGACCTTGACCTTGGCTGCAGGGACCTGAATTTTGTGCGCGACACTCCGCCTCACAATGGTGAACATTTGTGCCAAGTTATATTGAAATCCCTCTATGCATGTGGAAGTTTTGCTCCGGACAAGCGTTTTTCAATGAGCTCTAAGTGTGACCTTGACCTTTGACCTAGAGACCTAGTTCATGTGCGTGACATGGCTTCTCATAATGGTGAACATTTCTATGAAATTTCATTAAAATCCCTCCATGCGTGTAGGAGATATGCTCCGGACAAAATCTGGATATTTCATCATCTTTAGTGACCTTGACCTTGTATATATTGACCTAAATTATATGTATCACAGCCATAGTCTTGATAATGACCATTTGTGTTACAATCCCTCAATAAATGATGACTAAATGGTCTATATACACATCTTCATATTTTTATCTGAAATTTGACCTCTATGTATGACCTTCACCTTGCCCGCAAGGACCTGAATCTTGCGCGCGACACTCCGCCTTACAATGGTGAACATTTGTGCCAAGTAATATTGAAATCCCTCTATACATGTGGAAGTTTTGCTCCGGACAAGCGTTTTTCAATGAGCTCTAAGTGTGACCTTGACCTTTGACCTAGAGACCTGGTTCATATGCGCGACACTGCTCCTCATAGTGGTGAACATTTCTATGAAGTTTCATTAAAATCCCTCCATACATGTAGGAGATATGCTCCGGACAAAATTGGACGCATAAAAACGGGCGTATAAAAAGTTAATATTTGGTATAGTTAGAAATGTGTATGTAGCCTTATGTTCAGTAGTTTATATATAACCCTAAAGGGGAGGAAAATGCGTATAAATAAATCCATTGTATACATGTGTTATTAAGGCCCTTCGTCTCTTGCAGATAACACATCTAACAAGTAAATATAGTGGCATAAAAGTGAACAAGTCTTATAAATAGAATCAAACCTGTCACATATTAACAATACCCCATGGGGATTGCCCCTTTAAAAGATGGTAAGCAACCGTCGAGGATGCTTCGCAGTTCCTTGGCCATGACAAATTTTAAATCTTCTTTACAATTGAAACGAACTTCCCAGAGAATGCAACGGGTCAAAGTCACTTAAAATATGTGTAATTCGATAGTGTTTTCCTACTTATATTAAACTTATTATTAAAGTCACCAGGTTTTATTTATGCGGCGACATGTTAAAGAGTGAGAGTCGCTTTCACGAACAGTTGTTGGTCGCAGTAAATTATTGCTTAAGTTTGCACGATACGTTCAACTGTCCGATCAGCTTCCAATAAACCACGAGTATCATAGGCTATACTTGCAAACTGTTTCTGATTTCACTATTATTTTCGAAAGTTTGCCGGCTTTCTTGACCCAGGGGTTGTGCTATTTGGGAGATTGCGATTACAGTCTCAGTTCATAGCTTTGTCACGACGTCTCATCTGTTGAAACAATACGTTTTATTTAACATAGTTATCATGTTTTTACCGTTTTCTCTTATTACTTCCATGTCCAAGTCATCTGGCCCCTATCTAAGAGTTTAGGACCTAACCCGCAAAAACCCACGGCATTGATCCTTGAGCTCTGATAACGCCTTATATCTGTTACGTCAACATATCCAAAACGTGGACTTTTATAACGTAAAACCTGTCTGTTGCCTCGATTATGAACATAAAATCAGGGTATTTCTCGGTTTTTAACATAAAATAGGGAAAAACAGAATCCCAAAAGAACGTCCAAAACAACGAAATTTAAAATGTTGCAGGCTCTGTTTGAGCCTGTACATAGACCTGTCTGTTGCCACGATTTTGAACATTGCCTCGATTTTGAACATAAAACCTGGCTATATCCTCGGATTTTGAGCATAAGCCCGGGCTATTGCCTCGATTTTGTACATAAAACCTAGATATTGTCTCGACTTTGAACGTAAAACCTGTCTATTGCCTCGATTTTGAATGTTTTGCCTCGATTTTGAACATAAAATAGAGAAAAACAGAATCCCTAAAAAAAAAGTCCAACACAACAAAATTGAAAATGTTGCAGGCTCGGTTTGATTGAGCCTGTTCATGGACGGTACTGGAAAGTGCAAGTTACCGACCACGCCCCTAGCACCGGCTTAAGCAGAATTCAACATTTAACACAAACATGGAGAAATTTTGAATTTAGAAACATCCGCAGATGTTTTCATACGGCGGTCATAATGGAACCTTCAATGTGACACAGTAGTGCCATTCCATGAAAAGCGGCGTATGGTCCCAAGTAAAAGAATGTTTTTGCCCTAAACGAGAACACAATGGGCGGAACTAAATGAAATGGAATTTTGAAAGGGGATCTGAGGTTATGAAGTCTGTATATCAGAGATAATAAGTCAAAAGACAAATTTAAAAAGCAGACAACATATCCTAAGGGTGATTATACGGTATTTAAGTAGGAATACTGGAACCACCCAAGTTGAAAATGGCCAAAATACAAGATACTAAAAATACCACATAACATGTATACATAACAATAATGTCGTGCTGAACGATCTTCAAGGATCGAAAATATAACATCATTGATTAAATGTACGGGGAGACTTTTTACAGCCGCCACACGGCACAAATAACACGGATGTGACAATAAAATAGAGAAAAACAGAATCCCTAAAGAAAGTCCAACACAACAAAATTGAAAATGTTGCAGGCTCGGTTTGATTGAGCCTGTTCATGGACGGTACTGGAAAGTGCAAGTTACCGTCCACGCCCCTAGCACCGGCTTAAGCAGAATTCAACATTTAACACAAACATGGTGAAATTTTGAATTTAGAAACATCCGCAGATCATACGGCGGTCATCATGGAACCTTTAATGTGACACAGTAGTGCCATTCCATAAAAAGCGGCGTATTGTCCCAAAGTAAAAGAATGCTTTTGCCCTAAACGAGAACACACATTGGCGGAACTAAATGAAATGGAATTTATAACCTGTCGTTAAAGTCATTTATGTTACTTTGATATTTATGATGGGAGCTTGTATCTGAACTTATTTGATGGCCATAGTATATCAATTACAGAAACATTAAAATATCAACAACAAAAACAAACACTGAGTTTTCTATCTAAAGAAGCTCATTATCTGCACGATTTAAAACACTCAATTTAATAGATTACTTCGCACCTGTACAAAAGCTGTGCAATAATGTAGACAGAAAAATCAATTTAAATATGAATATTACAATACAATATTTCATTTTTTTCTCTTATCTTTTATCTTTTCTCAATATAGAATGCAAGGTGTGACATGTTGTTGTTTTCATTTCTTTGGAGAAAAAAATCCCAGATATATGACTTTGTTACAAATTACCTACAAGTAAATGTTGTTGTCTTTACAAGAAAAATAACAGTTAAAATGTTTAAGAACATAACACTTGTGTGTAAAGACAAAGAACAACAACTCTGGTGATATAATACATTGTGTCTGGCATGAGTCATTGCAAGAAGGCGTTATATGATGGTCAATTTATAAAGAAGTTAAGTCATGAGTGTATACCACATACAGTCATTGTCATCGGTTTATACTCCTTTGATCTTACTATTGTCAAACGTGTTCACCGTAACGCAAGTATACGTTAACGGATAGGTTTAACTAAACGAGGCCATACAAGTGGTTTCAAATGTTTATCTTTCAATGTTAAATTTAAAGAGAAAAAATACACCGTATAACTGATTAGCGAAAAAGTATCATTTTAATGCGATAAATTTCTTTTTATCTATATTTTAAAATAGAATATACATGTAGTCTTACGTGCTGATCTTATCTTTCAGTGCGTTTTGTTCCAAGTCCATACTCATCTATTTGTTAATTGCATTTGATTTTCATTAATATGTTTCATTTTGGCGAAGTATATACATATACTTGTATTGTATGATGTTAAAACATTAAATCAAGATATTGAATTCGAGAATTATAATTGATAATTGGAATATTTGGTATCTAAAACTAAAATATTTTCAAATTATGTTGTTTTCTGGAATTTTAATATACGTACGAATATACACAAAAGTCAAAGTCTGGCTTTACAGATACATATATTTTTAATGTAAAAGATATATTACATACATAAATAACCGTTACTCACAGCGTCATAACTAAAGCTTTCAATCAAAATTCAAACGGATAAAAAAATGAAATCTCTATTCAAGGACTGCAATAACAATAATACGGGAAAAAAATCAACGTTATGATTTTCTCTTAAATTTTTTCCTAAACTGTTTTAAAGGGGGGAAGACAATTTCATGATTTTCAGTACTTTTATCAAGGATTTTGCCTCGATTTGTCTACTAAACATGTCCAAAATATACATGTATGTCTCATGTCTTTATTCGTTCAGCATTTAATATTGTATTAATGATATCCCTAATCATCCAAACATTGTATGTTGCCACTGGTGTTAACTGTTTCTTGTCGAAGGTAAAAACATAAAACAGCACGGGCCTCCGATTAGATATTGACAGATTGTAAATAAAGCAATACGAATTCTTTCATGTTGTAAAACCTTTAATCTAACATCTCGAAATAGTGACATTTTGATATTTCGACCGTCTTGATTTGTGCTGTTTTGTCTAATTAAGGTCCCATATATCAAAGGAAATACACATTATTTTTTACTTTTATTAAAAGAGACTTTATTAAGATACTATGATGCTGGGCAGTATAGAACGATATTTAAGCATCGTTTGTTATGGATTGATACTTTTTATAGGTAAGTTAAATCAAATGTTGTATAAATGTGTACATCTTCTTGACTCTCTTGATTTCACACGAAACATAAATAAACATTCAAAGAAAAATTGTTATTAGAATATTTTTTTCATATATAGAGAGAACAAATTTAGTGTGTACTCAAAGTAATAAAACTACAAACGATTGTTGATGATTTTCCAATTTCTTTAAAGAACAATGTTTTATATATATAACCATGCTTTCTTTTAGACATTGCCGATGCGTGCAATATGACTGCCGTTAACACGTGCACAGAGATTTTAAGCCGCAGTAGTGACGCCAGTGTGATAACTGACGGTATTTCCGCCATCCCGACTGTACAACAGTTGAAGAAATTATGCGGGTAAGTTATAACAGTATGCTAAGCGTTTAAAACGTCATTTTTTTTCGGATAAAAATAATTAGCATTTAAATGTCACTTCTCTAAAATTTCTAGTATTTTTCAATGATAGTTAAAAGGCCTTTTATTGCTTTGTGGCATAGTTATTAAAGTGACATGCCCATCCAAGGGTATATAGTGAGTAAACAGGCAAAAATCAAAATAAGTTTACACTTTTCAATTTTATCATTTATTTCGCATGAACGATAAATAATTTACTTGGCCCCAGGCAAATTTCTGTAAATATTCATTGCAATTTACCTGTAACGTTTGATTTTTAAAAGGAGACGGGCAGCCTTTTTATATTTTAGTCAGATTTATTTTTCATGCTTATCATTGTGGAATATCAACTGTTGGTCAATCATAAAAACAGTCAATCTTTTGAAAAATGAAGTCAATTCAACCTAACTTAACGATTATGTCACTTTAAAGTCTTCTACATATTAAAGAAAATCGAAAAACAAACTCTATAAAGACAGTGTTTATTTAAATGTTTATTAAATATTAAAGAATACTGAAGTTCTTGAAATACTTACAAGAAAAGTGGCAGTTTGAATAGTATAAGTATCACATAACACATTTACCATGAATGTATTCGTTACGGTTTGTCATGTCTTTTTTTGACAAAAAAAAACAACAACAAAACATCTGCTGAAGTTTACTTATGAAGATGAGATTTAACGAATGATTATACAATACAATACAATACAATACAAGATATCATACCGAAACAATGAGAGAATAATTATTGGCTTAGTAAGCATAGACTTCACCTTAATTGGTTTACAAATCAATAGCCTTGTACAGTAATATGTATATAAACTGTATGTGTTATATCAATCAACATGTCTATACGTATCTTGATACTAGTATATCACGTCTGATGAACGCATGTCACAAATTTGTCATTTCTTTATTACATGTACTAATTACAAATTGAACAGTCATCAATAGTCATCCCAACAATTTCTCTGCCGATAATTAATCAATACACATTAACATATGTTTGTATGTAGAAACTGAACTTTGATATTTACTTTTTTGTAGAATGTGTATTTAGATACTGAGCTTACAAAAGAGAAAAAATATTAATAATTAGTTTGTCATTGCAAATGATGTCGCACGTTGAAATTAAGCATTAACGGCAGCAGTGGCTTTCCATAGTTATTTTTTTAAGCAGAAACGGGTATATGTTATACCACCGGTACTGCATTGGTTAAACTCGACAATTCCCGTACATTGCCGTATTATGAACACTTATCACTCCTTGTGTTGTACTTCGTCCAATTGTTTTGTATGTTGTGTATGTTTCTATGTGACCTATTGGTTCTTTTATTAAATATTTCTAACTTTTCTGTTCCACTCATAAAATATTGCTTTAACGTCAGACGTTAAATGCTCTACATTGTATGTTTCGGTTAATTGGTTTTTAATTAGTGTTGAAATATATTTTAGTAAAGATGCTGCGGTAAAAAAAGTATAACTAACTTATTTATTGTATTTCTTAGTGCAAGTTGATTATGTATATTAGTTCATTTGATTGTGCCTATATGTTATATGTACTGTTACAATTATCTTATTACCTGTTTAGGCCAATTGTTGTACTTGACGAGTCTACTCTTCTGAATAACCAGAAATATTTGACCCCGCGACACATAACTTAACATTACCACCAATCTGTTGCCTACTGTATGTCATATCCCACTAATAATCGAACCTTGTCTTCGTGTAGGTGCCTATTTTAATTTGAAAAAGTTCCAAATATTTTAATTTCCTTCAATATTATACCATATATTTCAGCGCAATGGGTGATTTCAAGGCATGTTATAAACCGAAAGCAGCAGAATGTTCTGGAGATGTTGTTTTTTCAATGACGTTTGGTACAATAGAAAATACGATAGAATATTTATGTGTAGAAGGGTATCAAGGTGAGGCAATTACCAAGTGTTTTATTACAACTAACTCGCTATATTATCTATTCCCCGGACTTAAGTTGTAGAATTTAGCAAAAGGCTTTAAATATTAATGACAAAAGTATCATATAAACCTTTAAAGTGAAATGGTCTATAATGGAATGTCTGTAATACAAAGAATAATTCTATTAATAGTATTTAGTATCAGCATAACAACACACCACGAACGAATTATACATGTAGGTTGAGGGAAAGTGTGAGGTTCATGATCCAATATTACAAATATCTATAAAACAGATAAAATACTTATAGAAAATGTGTCCATTGTAGACCAATCCACTTTAAAGTTCATAAAAAAGCATCAAACAAAACACTACAAGGATATCCTAAACAATACATGACACTGTTTTTGACATAAAGATTTATTATATTCAAGCAAAGATTGTTGCAGTTATGTAGTACAATAATACAAACACCTCAATAATTGTTGTAATTAAAAATTACAACGTAAAACACAGACAGCCGAACACATTATATAGTTATACAGAATTATGACTTTGAAGTAATGCAGTCATAAAAATATGTCAAGAATGTCAGTATTTCATTATTAAACCAATTGCAGGTGAATTTAATCTGAAATCGTTATATATTTAGATATCCTACAGTATGCGAGCTGCTGGAATCAAACGGAAGTTATAGCAGATTCAACAAAATGTCACGTGACACAGAATAACATGATTTCCGCCCTGCATAATCAACAAAAGACGGGAAATTTAAATTCAACAACGATGAGAACCTACTGGTGCAAGTAAGTAGGTTTATATATAGTTCAAAGTGAGTTTTGATAAACATTTTAATAGACTAGTGTCTCAAACAGTAGGTATACTTAAAGATTAGTTTAACAGTCAATCTGACTAAAGTTATCAATTAGATCTATTTTAGTTATTTCTTGCGTAACATAAATTAGGAGCTAAATTCAATCAAATTGGTAAAACAGTCCTTATGGTGTATATATTTACTGTTAGTTACTAATATTTGACGGTATGATTTAGAATCTGTTTGTTGATTCCTCAACGATAAATTGTGATACATATGTTGTAAGTGGCGATGATATAATTATTAACGCATTAAAAAAGCCTGATAGACTAGATATATTTGTACAGTAATACAACTTTATACTTTCAGCATATTAGATAACACGACAGCATGTATGCGAGAAGGAGTAAAGACGAGATGTGGGGAAGAACCAGGATGTATTATGCATACAATGATGTCACGTGCACTGAAAGGTCTAGCGGCACTTATGAGATGTCCAACACGTAAGGGAACAATTTAACGAACCTCCACAATTTGTATTCACCTACCTTGCACATATAAATGATTTTAAAACGTTATTTCATTGATACAAATACGAGGTATTACCGGTCATTTAACATAAACTATCATTAGTTAAAGTTAAATTTGGAAAGCCATTGTATGGTGATTATATGGTGTCTAACTAAATTTTAATTATACAAAATTCTTAACAATAATTGCGAATGACACAACTCTTTTTTTTTTGACTGAAATCTAAATCTGATCTTTTTCTACACCTACCAAGTCTATGAATTGAAACAAATTTGCAAATTTAAACTACTTTCCTACTTTCTTCTTTTTTTGATTAATAAATCAGTATATACATGCTCACTGTACGATGGGGGATAAAAGTATACAGTCCACACTGTCTTATAAACCATAATGTAAAGGTATCTAAGCAATGTTTGAATGTACACTAATTTTAGTTTTGCAGTTTTAAACTTCTTTGTATTTTAGCGGCATCATGCCAGTTGCATTCGGATGGAAGTGAACATACACACGGGGACACGCATCCGGATCACGGAACAACGTCTGATAGAGGACATTCAGATGGCACAATTCACAGACATGGCAATACACATGATGTCCACAACAACAATCAGCATCCCTCTGGTGGCAGACACTCGGACGGCTCGCATCATACACCTGGCGATTCTCACACTGACCATCCCGGCAAGGCAGACGCTGAAGGGACGGCAAATAATCAGAACAAAAATACGGCCGCATCTAAAAGTCTTTCAGTTATTGTATCATTTTTTGCAATAGGTATTCTTGGTGCTAATATTATGTCTTGATTAATTCATTTTTGTTAAGGAAAAACGTGTAAAATAATCCAACACATCGAAATTATGAGATTCACATTTATTGTGTGTATGATTAGAAAGGAAAATCAACTTACTAGCATGAAACGCTTACCTCTTACTAACCGGAACGTTATTGAACATTTTCTTATAATAGGTCAGTCTTATAATTATTTTCTTGGGTTTTTAAGGCATTCGGTAATTAAAGTTTGAACTATACGAGGAAAAACTTTTGATTGACAGACATTGAATAAAGGTAGACAAATAATGCAATATTTACAACTTAACCAGTTCAGTGACAGTTATTTATCTCCCTTTGAACTGTCTCCATAAAAAAACATACAGAACAACAACATAAATATTTAAGAGAAGTTTTGCTTCCTACCTACTTGACTTTGTCACTATTTTTGACTAAAGCTATTGAACAATTATTTATGCTCCGTATAAATAGGAACATTACTTGGGCAATGAAGATACATCTACCTAATGATGTTTACACACTATATTTAGTTATCTCTCCTTGCTCCTTGATGTTAAAAACAAATGAGCTGCGTCATGACAAAACCAACATAATGGGTTTGCGACCAGCATGGATCCAGACCAGCCTGCGCACCCGAGCAGTCTGATCAGGATCCATACTGTTCGCTATCAGTTTCTCTATTTGTAATAGGGTTATGGATCCTGATCAGACTGCGCGGAGGCGCAGGCTGGTCTGGATCCATGCTGGTCGCAAACGAACTATCTTTGTTTTGTCGTGACACGGCTCAAATGTGTTAATAAATGTTTACAAACATATTGTCGTGAAGTTTTGTACTTATTGCTGGACATTTACATATATATCCTTTAGTCTCAATATATCATTTTTTGTGATGTCTGAACAATGTACTACTATTGTTATGATCATGTCTGAACATGTCTGCAGTTGTTATACATTTGTATTTAGTATCTGCATGTGAAAAAAGGATCGAACAGTAAATATCGCTTTATTATACTTACTGATTTCACGTTGCTAGCTTGATAATATATGCGATTTTCCTTTGAGGGTTGTATTATCTTGATACTTGAACATTTTGGAGTAACTTTCTGTCTAATTAGAACATCATATGTTTATATGATTATGATATGCATACACTATTAAATGTGACTAATGTATTTTGTATCATACCCGAATGTAAAGGTCGATTTCACATTGACGACATCCCAATACTTGATATAATTCCGAAGGTGGACGTCAACTGCATGAAACACTGTGTATTTCTATGTTGCTGTTATGTTTCAGTATATGCTTCAATACGTTTTGTTTTGCTGATCAAAGTCTTCAAATGTACAGCTTATTGAATATATGATTTTAACGTGCACCTCCAAAAAAAAAAACGAATAGAAATAAAGAAACATGCATTAGCCTTCATAGTTGCTATATACAAGTACATCTATGTTTTCTTTACAAAGGAGGAACATATAATGTTTTATTTTCGCTTTTTACAATATTTATTTATATTACATTTCTTATATCACAAATTGTAACTCCTTCCATATTCTCGCACTTGAATATATTGGCTGTCTTTATTGATAACAGTTACAATTCTGACACGCATAAAGGAAGAAAAAAAAAGAAAAACATTTCAGGAGCGAGAAGCATTTATGAAAACATTATATAATCTCTCTTCTTAGTGAAATATATCCCATAATAACCACTACTGAAATAGATCTTGCTTTAGCTTTTTTGTCATTATTAATATACCGTTACAGTGACTTTATGAAATTCTTAAACCGTTGTACATTGTACATCCCTCTTTGCTTTATTTCAAACTCTTTATGACAGAAACCAAATATGTATATTTGACTCAGGTATCGAACAGTGCGACATATCTCAGTGACATAAGCAACATGTCAAAGAAAGAATATAAGAAATGCACATTAGGTTAAAACATAACAAAATCCGTTACAAATCCAGAGAGTGGCAATCAGTTCATAGCGTTGTTTCATATTGATATTATTTTCTGTTTCTTAAACCTCAACAGATAACTAAATAAAAAAAAATAAATAAAAAAAATTACTAACTAAAAATGTAAAATATCTTTATTATCTCCGTTGAGTCGATGCTAAGGTCAATAGTGCGTTATTGAGGCAAAAGAGTCTTCCTTTAGCAACGCGCTTATTTTGTTCACAAAAAAGGCTTAATACCTTAAAAAATGTCGAATTCGAAGCTGTAACATGCCATTCGTAAATTTAACTATCAATCATAATTATTTTATTCTTTTGCAGGTAGATCCATAACAATTTCTGAAAATACATGTACATAGCTTTCGCCACTGTAACTGACCACTACAATTTATATGTTTATATTTTTAGGTAATAATGAGTACTCAAAGATATCATATAAATAATAAAGCTCATAATATAGTTCTATTGTTTCGTTTTTTATACCTTTTAACATGAACTAAAAGTGAGCGTCAAGGTAAATTATCCATACAGCTTAAAATTTCTTACACAATGCCAGTTCTCTCCCTTTAAACATGTTTGTATCAAAAGCTTTTGGTCGGTGAATTCTTTCCATTAAAGAAAAGAAATAATGCTTTTAATTTTGAATAACATAAATCTTAATATAGTAACATTGGCATCTGAATGCAAACATTATCAAGCAAGAAAGCTATCGTGGCCTTTAATCGCTAATCAGAGGATGTGGTCTACATGGACATAATTTAATTACGAGGACATTCCTATTAATTTATTTTTATCTCAATCAGCTCAGGGGTTTAATAGATGTCATTTAGGTTTAATTTCTGTATTAAACTGACAGGAACCAATCTTGTTAACTCTTTGAAGAATTTCTCAAATATTAATTCTATTGAATTCAATAATAATTTGCCACGCATTTGAGGAGATAGCGCATAAAGCTAATGTATTTTTTTACCTGTCTGTGTTCCAATGTTAAAGTAAACGCGTACGCTCCAATGTATTTTAATTCTGTGAAAGTGAAGCGTGCTTAAATGTAAATATTTTTGTTATTCATTGATATGAACAGAACAAGCTTTTAGAAAACAATATATGTTTAAAAATACTAAATGACAATGCTAAATACGACAGTGACATGTTTAAAACAATTTAGACAATATGGTTTTGTAGCTAAGTATTGTAACAAAGAAATGAGATTGTTTTTTGGGGGTTTTTTTCAATGTAAATATTTCGAGTATTGCAAAAAGTTAATGCGTGATTATAATTGAGTAATATTTGTACAGTACCACCTTATGATCATTCATATGGACTTTCATCAAGATAAACTTATAAGTTGAAAAGGAAATGTCCTTTAAAGCTTATTTCTATTTTCAGCCCCAGAGGCCATTTTTTCAACTAAACGAAATAATTTTAGCAATTTTTGTAATGGACCACCATAGATATTTGATTTAGACTTTCAATTATATCTATAGGATGGTATGTCATCAAAAGCTCATTTCTAGTTTTAGATCTGGGGGTCATTTTGCTCAGCAAACCGAAACTATTATAGCAATTTCAATAAATGACAATTTCCTAGTAGAGTTTTATGATCATCTACCAAGCGGTTAAGAAGAAACCGCTTTGGTACCCATCATTTTCCCAACAATCTAGAAGAAAAAAGAAGCCATTTTTGTAAAGGAATTCTTAATGATAATTGCTGTACAGTTTCATAAAAATCTTATAAGTGGTTGTGGATGAGATAGCGTTTAAAGGTTTTTATTTTTTAAGTCTGGCCAACAAACGGAACATTTTAGATATTCTAGAAAATGACCACCTAGATATCTTTTCTGTATTGTTTCCTTCCTATTAAAAGACCCCTCTTCTGACTTTTTATTTGAGTAACAAACGATTTAACCACAAACATAGAAGTGTTCTTTTGTTAACAAACATGTTGTGGGGAATTTCTTGTTGTAATGCCATAATCTGATAACTTGATTCAAACAGGTTGGGGTCATATACTCTATTCTTCTCAGTCGCTTGACCAATGGATAGATCCTTATATTATAGGGATATATCCATTGGTCAAGCAACTGAGAAGAATATGTCTTGTAAAGCATATGTCTATATTTGTAAGCTCTTGTAGCAATCTTGTTCAACAGACTTATATTATTTCAGTAAATTTTGTAAATAACGTCCGAATGGTCATTGTGTACAGTTTCATAAAAATCGGACAAGTAGTTGAGGAATAGATGTCGCTTATATGATTTTTCTACCTTGTTCAGCAGGACCGACCCGTTTGAGGACGTTTAATAGAGGACCGTCAAATGATAATTCTGTACAGTGTTATGTTATAATGACTATTTGCTAAACTGTTTAGTAGATATTGTGTAAGTAAATATGTTAACCACCAACGACGAACACATGGCGATGACAATAGCTCACCTTGATCACTTTGTGCTCTGTTGAGCTAGAAAGGCAGATAGTCTTTCTAAGGCAGGCGTGCATTAAAATATATAAAATAAGTGAAAATTGAAGATTAGATAAGTCCACCGATAATCGGAAAATGTGGATTTTCCCATTTAATCACGGGGTAAAAACAACATTTTACCGTTATAGCTTTACGGTTCTCTACTAAAAGATACCGTTCAATCAAGAGTTACGCTTTTTGGTGAAATAGTTACCATGTTTTGTTTGTTTGTTTGTATTTTGTTGTTTTTTACTCTGAAAATATTCATGTTTCCTTAATGGAAATTTGAATATACACAAGCACAGTTGAATTACTTTTTGTAACGAAATCAGCACCGCAAATTTCCAGAAGCTATGTACATAATGAAGACGGAATAAATCACCAACTCCGGAAAGATGTGCCGTGTGGTCCTGCGTGATACATGTATCCTCTCGGAGGACTTCCAATATCAATGTTGTAGACTGTGAATGAACCATCAGAAGAACTGAAAAATAAAACGTGTGTTGAAACATGTGTTCAAATAGTCATAATGTGCTATAATGTTAAAAACAGATCCAACTTTATATTTGCCCTTTTGTCTTCAAATTATAGAACACGTTAATAAAATAAAAAGGTCAACAGTCGCTAAACATGGCAAAATGCTCCTTGAATGCTACAATATATAGATATGAAAATAATATGCATATAAGTAGATATGAAAATAATGTGCATATACGCAATATCAGAAAATAGAGAAAATAAGAATCCCTAAAGAAAGCCCAACACGGCAAAATTGAAAATGTTGCAGGCTCGGTTTGATTGAGCCTGTTCATGGACGGTACTGTCAAGTGCAAACTACCGTCCACGCCCTCTAGCACCGGCTTAAGCAGAATTCAACATTTAACATGAATTGGTACAATTTTGAATTTTGAAACATCCGCAGATGTGTTCATATGGCGGTTATCATGGAACCTTCAATGTGACACGCAAGTGCCATTCCACGAAGAGCGGCATATGGTCCCCAAGTAAAAAAAATGCGTGTGCCCTAAACGAGAAAACAATGGGCGGAACTTGAGAAAATGGAATTTTGAAAGGGGATCAGAGGTTATGAAGCCTGCATATCACAGATTAGACGTCAAAAGACAAATTTAAAAAGCAGGCAAGTTGTAATTCCATATATTATATTTTTGTCTCATTTCTTGGAAAATTAATAAGTTACATTTTAGTTTTAACTGTGATTCAAAATATATTGCTATCGTTCTACTGTTTACATATCTTTTTTTTTAACAAATTTATAAATAAAAATAATTATTAATTCACCTCTGATTCAAAGATTCATTCAAATATATGCTTGAATTTGAAAGATTAGTAAAAATATATTATCGCGTTTAAAATGATTATTTTCTACACACTTGTATGCATATCCAAGTCCACCATTTGCCGTTATGAAAATTTTGCCACCGTTTCCGAACGTCACTCCTTCTTGTGCCCTTCTCATGTCGTCTGCAACTTTTGCCTCGCGCTCACGCGCCATTCTATTCCCCATTTCTTGTAATCTGATCGACATATTGTTTAAATTTGTCGTCAGCTGATTCATACCTCTGTAGAAACCTGGACCAAGCGGCCCTGTGTGTAAATAATTTCAAATACAAATGTATATTATTTCGTTTTGTGTAATCATATGTTAGGTAAAACTTTTATACATGAATGCAGCAATGATATCCCATATCCCATCATAACTTCTCGATAATGGTTTGCAATTATTCTTTTGACATTAAATCGGTATATGTACGTAATGACTTAAACCGCTATATGTCCTTGAAGGTCGATTGAAAACTGAATGTGTTGCAAACACCGTTTGTTTATCATTTGTCTTGTTTTACTTTTAAAAGGAGATTGGGCATCCTTGGCCGAGTCGTTACTTGCCAATCACTGCTGTGAGTTAGAATCCCGCCAGGAACGAGACTTTTTTCATGTAAGGAAGCTACTTAGCTATCCTCAACAGTATGGCGGTTCTGCTCAAGTGCCTGTTCGGCCTGAAAGCACGTAGGGGCACATGAGGACTTCCTTTACAAGAAAAAATGGAATGTCGCAATCTGACTTTTATAGTGCTGGTGCAACGTAAACTCTAGCAAAAAAAGTTAGAAGAGACTTCTCTTTTGTCAATTAAGTGACTTAAGAACATACTTTTTTCAAAATACGAAACGTACCAGTCAACCTATGGGAGTTTGTTTGTTCGAGTTCTTAAATATTCTAGCGTTGCAAAAATTGCATTGAGTAGCTTATTTATGACTTCGTTTTGTCAAGTCAATGCTTTATTGGATTTAACATTTATTATTTTTTATATAAATACAAAAATACATAGGCAGGTGAAAATCATGTTAATAGTTTATCCAAAAGAGAATGATATACAGTTTTTAATACAATTATCAATACTTTAATAAATAATGTTTCCAGAAATTGTGACTTTGTTTTGCAAAATATATATATTTATTTTTGTAAGGATTCTTTCGCCCCTTGAATTGAACAACAACTATTCTTAGATCTTTATAAAGTAAAATAAAAGAACACTTACATTGTCCATGACAACTTGTAAATAACATTACAATTAGTAAGACTGACTTAATCATCTTCACCGCGTGTTTGTTGTAATGGCGGAAATAAATAAACAACGTAGCTGAAATAAAGACATTATTTACGTGTTGTATAAATGGACAAATATTTCTAACATCAATAAGAGTCGCCCTCGGTGCAAAAGCAATAAATAAACAATGATAAAGATTATGATAATAATTATGAGTTTCAAGAGTTTCAATTTATTTGCAATCAACAGTACATTTGCCTTTTGTGATTTACAAACACACACACAAAAACTTTTGGCAAAGACTATTATACGCATAAGTAAAATAGACAAACAATGCAGTACAATAACATATGTTAATTTACAAACATTCTTTTCCTTCTTCAGTGCCTTCTAAAAACATCGATGGTTCTATTAAGGTGCCCGATCGTACCTAAAATATACACGAAGGGAACGTTGGGTCTTCCTCCACCGGTTAAGCAGAAAGTCTCGAAGTGACTTTTACAGTGTCGGTGTGACTTAAAATTGAAAATCATCATCATCATCATCATCATCATCATCATCAACAACAAAATCAATGTCCTCACTTTAATCATCATTAAACATGATTATTATCAGCAGTGTCACCGAATCCGATTTATAATTGTCATTATTACCACTTTCAGCACCATTACTATAACTTCCTTGAGCCCACCTGACTTATACCCCTTATAACAAGTATTTCATGGAAATGCTGCCTTTGCTCAATGAATTGATATATTGCGACAAAAGCAAAGATAATTATCAAATTTAAGAAAATAAAAGTAATCATGCTTACGAAATTCTTACCTTTAAGTTTTGTTCATCTACTCAAACTCCGCAGGTAAAATTTTAATATCTCGACAGCGTTTTGCGGTTTGTGTTGTAAACATTTTGACATCTTAAGGTGTGGGTTGTTTACATTCATGAACATTCGTTGTAGATTTAAAATAAGTGGATATGCATGTCAAATCGCACATGAAATGTTATTTATTCTATAATGCTTGTAAGAATATGACATAAGGGAGGACATTTATATAATTAACAATAGGCGTACAAAAATATATTTTCTTAAAAGTTATGACATGAATTTTTGTATTTTCTATAATAATCCATTTGCATTTCACTTGAAGTTGTTATTGAAAAAGTCGCCTACTTCTCAAAGTATTTGTTTCTGTCAAACCTGGTCATGTTCATCATGCTACCATCATACTATTGTATAAGCTCGTTAGAAGCTTACAATTCATATTTTGATGTTAGTCCTTGTTAAACAGTCGATTTAAAAGGACAAACGTATCTTTTACACTTCAACACAAGCAATTTCTCTTAAGTCAGTAGATACGTTTATTTTAGAAAAAAACCTTTTAACTATCTGTTGATGAACTACCTTAAAGAAAAACCTTTATTTATATTAGGATTTAATGACATTATTTACATGTTAGCATCCAATCATTGTGACAGTGTTATTTTTATTGTGTTATTACTTGTAACAACGAGGCAGGCACGTTATATATACACGTTGGAAATGTTTTACGACAAACAAAAACAAAGACATAATTTATTATTATTTATTATACAAACGTTCTTTTAATTAACAATGCAAACGCGTGATAACATTATTGCAAAATGTATAAACAACAACGTGAAAGGTGCACTGTAAGAAATCATCACAGATGAACAAAGAACAAAGGCTGTGTATCTCTATTGTTCTGTTTTATCTATGCAATGAAAACAAAACTATGAATTTATCAGTCTGATACAGCAAATACACCATACACGAGATTTACACACACGACATTTACAGTCAATGTTGATTAATTATTTAAGGTAAAAAAAAATGCAATTCAAAAAAACAAAACAAAAACCCACAATATATTGCAGAAATTGACTGTCAGTATACAGTAAATGATGAAGATTTTAGAATTATATGTAATCATATCAAAATACATTCCCCTGTTGTTTATAATGACAAATAAAAAGTCGAAGCAAATGTATTTTATACATTGACAAACATCTCACTACTATCCATAAACAAGTCAATATACGTATTTTTGATTAAGCGTAATGTTATCATAAATCACAACAATTACTGCCTAAAATAATTAATGTAATGTGATTCATACAATTATTATCCATTGTATTTATTCACCAGCTGTTGAAAGACGTTCCTCCTTGAGCATTGATATGATACATGTATCCACTAGGTGGACTTCCAGATTTTAAACTGTACATTGTGAAGGACCCATCTGTTGAGCTGTAAATGATTAATCATATAATTATACATATATATGTTTAAAATGCCTTTATTGGTTCGCCTTATTTGTGATCGTGCAACAGTGAAACCATTAAACCTAAAATTTCAGTAATATATCTGTATGTTTACATGGATGTCATTAAAAAAAAAACAATGTTCAAGGCTAGATTTTACGATCAAGATAAAGACTGATGTTCTCCTTCCAGATACACTCAAATAACCCTCCAATTAAAACACCGAGTTGCAAATGAAGAATGTGTATTATTTAGATACAACAATTCATCAAATAACAGTCACATGTGATAAAGCATGTAATAACTTGCGTGTTTGCGTGAAGTTGAAGACTCAATTTAAGACAAAGTTGAAAAACGCATTTAATATGATTATGAAAATGAATATGTATGTTGTAATAATCTGACCAAAAAGAACATTTTTAAACTTAAAAGCGGAAATCTCAAAACGAGGTTAGGGCTGTATTCGAATATGACTTTAATGGACAACAGAAAAAGCAGTACGTGTATAATTCAATTATATATTTACTTATAAGCGTATCCTAATCCACCGTCAGCTGTTATAAACACACTCCCTCCTGTCATAAAGGGGGCACCTTCCCATGACCGTAACATGTCAGCTTCAATACTTTGCTGTCGGTTCAAAGCCATCTGTTGACCTTGAATTTGTAGATTAGTTGCCATGGCATTCATGTTAGAGGCCATACGATTCATGCTGTTGAAAAACGAGGCTCCAAGTGGCCCTTTGTAAAGAGAGCATATAGTATAAGATATATTTTTATTACATAAACCGCGGTGCAAGAGTGTAATAAAGCCATTTAATAAAACGAATTACCTTGTAATAATATTTTAACGTACTCATTGCTAAATAGTTTAAAGCGCTAATTACGGGTATATCTATAGCGAGTAATAAAATGTTTTTTTACTGTTTACGTACATTCATATTATATAATAGAATATTTATTCGGGTAGATTCAACATAATTTATTAACTGTTGAATAAACAATATATGTCCCAGAGGCTGCATAATATGATCTTATTCAAAGTTCAATAAATTTAATATTAAACCTACACTCATTCATTATCCTCTATATAATACTCATTAACTTCAGGAATCTTTTAACAATTTTATATCTACACTGGTTGACAGGGGAGAACAAACTTTGATATGTTTTCTCCTTGAAGAAAAATAATATTTTCTCTTTTAGATATTACAGGTCAAGGGCTTACAGTAACACACATTATGGTACTTTCATGTTTAATATGAATTATTTAATTTTTAACTTTACAAAACGTACTTTTTATTTTCACGATATACTCCACATGATATAAACAAATTTAATGGTAATGTGTTATGCTTTTCTGATATGCTTTAACGGTTACAAAATTGATGTGAAAATTTATACTTAAAAGACTTTTAATTAAATATTACTAAAATCTGTAAAGGAGTGATATCTCGAAAACATTCTTTTTTATTCAAAACATATGTATGCTAAACAACTAATCAGAATTCAAAACATAATTCTAAAGCCATTAAAGTTGTGATGTATCTAAGCAATAAGCGATGAATACTTCACAAATCCTTTAGGCTACACTATTGTACTTTGAAGTTTTTACATTATATATTTACTAAACAAGTATAGAATAATGTTGACATTTTGTAAAGCAAGCCCATGTTATTATAGATGAATATTCTTTTGTTTTCTAGATCACGAAATGATTGAGTATACCAACATACATTGTCCATTACTCCTGGCGACGAAAACAACAACTAGTACAGTTAGACAACATAACTTCATCATCATTACACCTGTATATAAAAAATAAAAAACATGAACATTAAAGGCCCATTAAGCCTTAAAAATGCTATTATTTATATTTATTATCCTATTATGTACAATTTCCAAAAAGTCACTCAATTCCCATATGCATATACCTGAGAAGTCGTTTGCTTCTTTGCGTTTTGGCAATTAGTATAGTTATAGTGAGTGGTATTTTTGTATGGAAGTAAAATAAAATATTTTGTTTAAATTTTTATTCCATCATGAAAACCTAGTTTTATCTTCAGGTGATAAACATCTCACATGTTTTAAATCAATTATTACAACATTATTGAACACTTGTTTTCCTTTTCTAAAAAAAGAAAGATATTCATTTCTATTGCATCATGAATAAATTACTGTTTATGTTGAAAACAATTTAAGACTGTATCTATTTTAATAATTGTTGGTACCCGAGCATCAGTTGCTGATAATTTCAGTAGGTACAGATCCCAAGGCGCCCAGTAGTCCAAGTTATTTAGTATTCGGTTACATGTTAAGAGAACCCAAATATCAGAACGCCCAACTGATAATAAATAATTTCAGGTATATTTCAGATACCGGGATATAACTGACGGGTATCTTAAATCTGCTGTTATCTTCCTTCGTTTCCAACATACGTTAATTAATAAAGGTAAATACCACCACATATGTTTAAGACATGTTGTAAGGTACTTAATATGTATTTCTCCGGTCGTAAATTCACTGTTTTGAGACAACTTAGCATTTTCATTTAATAATTTAATTTAATAAAGATTACAGTGTAAGGTTTAAGAATAATGCTACAATAGAGCACGCTTTATTTAAAAAGTTTAAATAAAACTAAATAAAGTGAAAACACTTACCTTCAAATAATTAGTATGTTAATATCACAAAAACTGAAGATTTTATTACCACCTTAACTTGCACGTGGTTTCCTTATGAGTAATAAAACCGTACGTTATTGCCGTTAACGTTATTACTAATTAGTTGTTTACGATGTGTCATGAAAAAATGCATAGCATAAAAGTCATTACCGACTAACTAGTTTGTCAACATTACGAGAAGAAATGTCAAAATAACGATACTTCTCTTAACCTGTTTACAAATACTGTATATAAATGGTATGTATACTTTGAATGCTCAAATGGTAAAGATGTTCACGAAATTAATTAATTAATCAATAATAATAATAATAATAATAATAATAATAATAATAATAATAATAATAATAATAATAATGATAATAATAATGATAATAACTAAATAAATAAATAAATGAATGATAACCGATTGTTTCCTAACGTGATGACTTTTAGCCGAATATGTTTACAATGCTATAAATGTACAAAGATTCAAATTAATAAATTATTCTATGTAACTGCAAATTTATGTATACTTGGATGTCTATTTTAATGTGCCATTATCCAAATTCAATTCAATTCAGTATTTTATTTGGCATTAAACTGCATATAGCATATAGCCATTTTTACATAATATAGGTAAAGTGTGAGACATTTTTACAATAAATTGTTCATAATGCAGTACAAAATGTTTTCATAGAAGTTATTAACAAAAGATCTTCAAGTAGATTTAGCAATTAACGATAAGATTTTTTTTACAAATACGATCATACAAATTGTTTTCAGATATATTATTTACGGTATGTTATTTACGGTATGTCTTTCTAGTATGTAGATCTAACAATATACAAGTTAATCAGAGTAAAATATAAATATCTTGACCGATTATTAAGTTCTTTTTCATTTTTAGATGACATTAAAGTTTCATTTTCTAAAATGCAGGCCAACGGCAAAAATATGGCTTTAGAAACTTCTTAAGGTTATAATATTTGGGCAAACGAGTAAAAATGGAATTCATTTTCGATGACATAGAGGATATTTGTTTAGTTCAGTGTAAGATCGGAATATATTTCACCGAGTTAGCACCAAAAGGTATATTTCACGAGTGGCGCAGCCACGAGTGAAATATGAACTTTTGGTGTTCACAAGGTGAAATATATTTCGATCTTACACTAAACTAAACAAATTTTCTTTTTATTACATGCAAAGAAACGTTTTAAAAAGACATTAAGCCTAATACTGAATAAAAAGCGCGCCAAATAATAATACAACGTGACGTCATTTACGACGTCACGTCATTAAGTTGGTACGCTGGTATTTCACTGAAACAACGTAAGGGGCTTAAATTCAAAACAGTGAAATTATCAAAGTGGTAATTTCACTGTTTCAAACAGTGAAATTACCAGTTTTATATCACTGATATTTTTCTATAAACCACCGAAAAGCATGTAATAAATGCATTTAACATTGTTATTATAGTCTATTTTCTCTTGAAACTCCGTTGTGCCTACCAATTTCAACTTCTAGATTATGTGATGATAGTTGTACTCTATATTTATTTATATTTACACATTTTGAGTATTTTATTTTTCAAGTTCTACTTTAATTATTTATTTCCGAATACCAAGTGTGTTTGTAAATATCTAATATTCTATTTTCTATGATTAAGAAATATATATTATGTAGAGTAATACAGCCTAATATCCATGTCTAAAATAACAAATGTATTGCCCATGTATCAAATACTTAGTACATGTATAAAATACTGTATTGAGATCTTTACATGCTCTATGATATATATATATATAGCATATGGTCCTATTTCATGCGCATGGTTTGTTTTAGTTATTTATATGAACAGAGCATAAATATACGAAAAGTAATATGAGTGTTATCATTGAAGATCATACAAACAATGCTTTAAATGACTAAACTTTTTATTATTGAATACAATTGTAGATTAACACTGCACTGGTACTTTTGTGCAGTTACATTTTACTGTAACAAAATGTAAATAAATCATGTAAATTTTTAATCTTCTGAGAATCGTTGGATCATCATTTATGTTTGGACAGAAGTTATTTATCAAAAGATAACATTTACTTTGATTCGACATTAAACGAAAATGAAATATTTTAACCAAAAGCATTTAATCATATTTGCTAATGCGTTTAATTTTTCAAATTGCCGTTGGCAGACACGCGACATCTTTTTCTAAAACCTCAAAAGTGTGTGCATTGAAGCGCCCAATCTGCAATTATTTTTATATGAATTTTGTTTTTCTAGTTAAAACAGATTGCCATAGATCTATATCTGTCATTTCAATTTTTTACTTTTTAAGCATTTTCATCTTAAAGTATCATTATCAGTCACTTTACGATAAAAACTACTTGAAAAATTGTTATTTACAATGCATATTTGAATATGTACATTTAATTATAATATACATGAATGGGTTATGTAAGCTATCAAAACTATAATTACATCATCATCACCAATATGATTTGCATATAAAGAAAAATAGAAATAAACATGTTCACTGGTAAACAGAATAATATTTACAAATCGACAGTTTAAGTGAAAATATACTACATATATTTAGTTAAAGTATCTAAAATAGAAATGCTACTCTAAATGATTGTTTTTAGTGTTACTGGTCATATCGAGTAGAACACCTGTCATGATGAAGCCTAAAGTGTGTCAGTACAACATTTTATGAGTTAGTTAATTCTCCTGATAAAGTGTCATGGTTTTAGAAAAAAGTTAACCAAAGAACTTTTTCTCGATACAATCTGCCTTGGACCTGAGCAAGATCATATAAAAATGTTTGAAAGTCAAATACTCGTTGTAAGCTATGCAAAATGAAGCATCACCTGGAAAAAGGTGAATGTATGTAACTTCAGTGTGTCCAGTTCTGCACCTAAGAGGAATTTCTTAATAATCACTGTATAGATGGGACAGAGGTAACAAATAAACAAGACAGGGGCTGGTACATGTATCAAGAAGTTTATCAATTGCGACTTTGTCCCAATTTGATTGACATCACAATAATAGAACATGGAATGTACTTCTATTTTACATGCTCTTACGAAGTGCATTTCTGTGGCAATTATATAAACACGAATAACAATACTGACTTTTGACATCACATTACCCAAGTTCTTAAAGAGTTTATTTACCATAAACGTACAATATGTTCATTGCTACACATATGGTATAATGTACATGTAATATGACAACAAAACAAACAAACATACAATAAAGTGAAATACTTTGGGAACCATGAGAATAACCGAAGCAAAAACACAAAAACAGGATATTATTATTGAGAAAAGTGAATAAGAGAAAAGAAATAGCAATATGTATTTAAACAGTTAGATTAATTGATTACTAGTATACGTATATGGTTTACATGTAGTTAGGTATAGATACTCATTTTCAACTACATACATTTTCAATGTTAACAAATTCGTTCAGATCTTGGAATATTCCTGTGTCTACCTTCCTCTATAAGTAATTTGTGAGCAGGACATCTAAATCGACATAAAGTAGTACGATGATTTAAATTACTAACACAGAACAAATATTTTTCCGCACATGTTCATTTTTAAATATACAATATGTTTCTAATCTAGGTAAATTGTTAATTTCAATTTGCCATTGTGTAAGTATTGATGTTTTATTCGTGCTATTAAAATATGTAGTTGATCATTTGTAACACTTTGATTATTCCATAAGAACGAATACTTAACTGGAAAGCAGTTTTTAAGATTTGTATTTTATTTGATTACGCCTGGACTAATAACTTTTGTACATTTGTTCACTCCGTTTTTCTGTTGCCCATTTTAACATTCAAATTTGAGGCTTTTGGATGTCAGTAGCGTGCCTTTAATATTAATATAGCAATCGTTTATTTCTTTTTTTATATTTCATTTAAAAAAAGTTTTTGTAAATAATTTGCAGTTTTATAAATTCGTTGAAATATATGCCTTCAGAGATTGATCTAGTTGTCCCTCAACTAGCTCCTTTACATAAGCTATCGCCGTTTATATCTGTTTCAGCAAGGTATATAGCTAAACGTATGGACATATCTAACAAATAAAATACTTCAAATACACTTTAAGAAAATCATGTGCTTATACCATTAGAAGTCATATATGCAGTGTATCAATTCATTTTATATTAAATGGCTTAGTTGACATTTTGTCTACATTCCAGTATAGAACCTATTGTAACCTTAATCATCAAAGCTGATGAATAGTCTAAATAACACCATAAATTCGTAAATATATATCACAGGGTGCAGCCTGATTGGATTTGAACCCGGAACATTCGAAATACCGTACCGTTGTTCTACCGATTGAGCTATCCGGCGCATTAACATTAACTCTCCTTATAAGTTTACTGAAATTCGTCCTTAAATGTTCAATGAGTATAGAGGACATTGTGAATTCACTCGGAGCTATATACAATTACAGTCTCTCGGTGGGCGCCTAACGTCACAGGGTGATACGAATGTGAAGCCTGACGGACACGAACCGTAACTCAATCGGCAACTTACACATTTTCTACATTAAAGGTTGAAAAGTTCTAGAACGTGACATAAAATAAAATGTGTTTCAGTATTCATCCTTATACCAAACTTAAGCACTTACAGTTAATAAGTAGGTAATTCCTAGCATATATCCATTTGCTTTTATCTTGAATAACGTTGCTACTTGTATTAGTTTATCCCATTTTAATAACCGTATTGATCTATCATATATTCACCTACATCTCATTTAAAACTCAACCTTTCCGAGGCAAATTGTATAGAATGTTTACCAGTTGAAGTTGCCAATACCTCACATTTTCATCAACTCTAACAAATATTGTCTTTTTTCAATACCAATTTTTCTGTATTTTTGTATAATAGTCGGTGACTTTTCTGTTGAAAATTGTCAGAGTTAAACGTATACATATACATGCACAGTGCGTTAACTGGAGTGCAGGTATTTGTTACCCGCACTCCAGAGCATACCCATTGATTGCCTCATTTTTCTGGGGTTGACAGAGAAAGGGATACCGATAGAAATATCATATTAAGATGCCTATTTATTGGAAACTTTTTTCTGGGGTTTCATATTGTTTCTTATAATACAAAAGAAAAGGAACATCAAAACACTAGGCAATCTGATTAATACTCGGGGGCTACGTCCCCTCGTACAAATCAGATAGTCTCGTATTTCGATGCTCTTTCTATTACTTGTACGATGTAAATTAATATTTTCTAATTGTTTTTTTTTTTTTGGGGGGGGGGGGGGGTAAATTATATGAAACAAAAAGATAAAGAAATTTTCATACGCACGTTTATATACAAATCCTGCTACATGTATTGCAATATGAATAGTATCACTTATATCCAGTGATTTTATATATCTGTATATCTTGTTTTGATATCTTATTATCTTGTTTTGATAACATATCATAATTAAGAAACAAATAGAGTTTAGAGTTTATAAATCGAAGAACAATTGCTATACTTCGATCTAGCAAATGTGTTCGAAACTGGTTCATTACACCTTTATGTTACAAATACTGTGTATTTAAATGCTTGTTTTCTCACTGCCTGAAGTTTTGACCAATGTCAAATGTAAATGCAAGCGAATTTAGGGGTAGTTACATTACGGGTATAATAACGGGCTTTAATCGGTGCTTGGGGCATGCACCGTAGATTGCAATATCCACTACCTGTCCATGGACGAGCTCTATCAAAGTGAGCCGTCAACATTTTAATTTTACATGCGTAAATGATTAATATTCAGTAAATGATTAATATTCATAATGGATCATAAAATAATAACATTGATAATAAAAATGTAACTTTTTATTTTATTAACATATTAAATGAGCATAAATCTATAAATTTTTGTTTGACATTGCGATGTACAAACAAGGAAGAGACAGAACAAAAACTGACGCCATACGTGAACGAATTGTACTGCTGTAATGTTTAAAGAAATCGTAAGGATAAAATCAGTGAATATAAGGATGTCAATTAATTTTTATATGTTGTGTGTTCTGTAATCTTGAGCCTGTCTCAAAACAGTTTAAATGTTATCTGAGCATGGTTGTTTGTCGCTGTATGTATTTCTCACTTTATATTTTTAAGTTTGCAGTATCTCAAACCAACACGTGTGAGTTTATTGTTTCCTTATGTGTCATTTGTAAGAAATAGAATTGCATAAAACAACGCACACATGTGTACCTTAACAGAATTACACGATAACAAGTGTGAATTAAGGTGTTATATAAACAAACTGATTGAAATGACATAATTATATATATCAAATCGGTTTCTTAAGTAGCGAAACAAAAGGCAAAATTACTGAATCAGGCTTGTACTATTATCAGCAAGAATAGAGGTTTTGCGCAATTTTTTGTTTTCGTTTCGATGGCACAGGCTTTAAATGCGCCTATGCAGGCTTCATAACCTCAGATCCCCTTTCAAAATTCCATTTTATTTAGTTCCGCCCATTGTTTTCTCGTTGAGGGCACACGCATTTTTTTACTTGGGGACCATATGCCGCTTTTCATGGAATGGCACTAACATGTCACATTGAAGGTTCCATGATAACCGCCATATGAACACATTTTACCAGTTCATGTTAAATGTTGAATTCTGCTTAAGCCGGTGCTAGGGGGCGTGGACGGTAGTTTGCACTTGACAGTACCGTCCATGAACAGGCTCAATCAAACCGAGCCTGCAACATTTTCAATTTTGCCGCGTTGGGCTGTCTTTAGGGATTCTTATTTCACTCTACTCTATCTTCTTTATCTTGCAGATGATAATGCATAAAAACGTTCAATAACCATCTTTTGTAAAATCTAAAGGTTCCAGTTGGAGGTATACGATCAACCTAATACATCACCACACGTGTTTCATCAGCACACATACGAATATAAAACTACAAATAAACAACAAGTCATAACTTCGGTTTTACTAAAACCAAATATATTCAACCATTTATTTCAACAAATTTTATAACACAAAAATAATATACATATAAAAAGGAACTAATCATTAATTTTATAAACAGTCTTACGCTTCTCGTGTCCTCATGTAAAGGTCATTACTTATTAAATGTTTTATCTGGTTTGACAACTAAAGTTATGTATCATCTTCATAATTAATTGTCTTAATTGTGTACTTCAAAGAACACAGAGATAACATCTTGATTTATATAAGACATTTTAATTTGCGGAAACGTTGATTGATATCAATATGTTTGAAGATACTGATCAACATGTTTGTCTTAAGAAATATGATCTGCGATTATCCTGATTCATAAAAGATTCTTTTCTACCAAACAAATCAATGTAACATTGTTGCGGAAGAGTGATACAGAAGAACCTTGCATACAGAAGTGATAATTTTAAGTAATTTAAACAGTATAAAGCTACATATCTGATATCCTTTTATAAAATCCATAGTTTCCATAATCTTACAGTCTATTTTTGAAATAGTTCTAACACAGAATGAAAACCGCAACATGAACACATCTGCGGATGTTAAAGAAAATAACAGATCATTTAAAATGAGTTTTGCTTGGGCCGGTGCTAGGGGGCGTGGACGTTGACTTGCAATTATACTACTGTACATGAACAGGCTCAATCAAACTGAGTCTGCAATATTTTTAATTTTTCCGCTTATGGTTGTCTTCATGGATCCTCTTTTTCTCTATTTTGTTATTTATCACACATAGATATTGTGATAAACAGAATAGACTGTTCCGAAATAAAATATTATGCTGCTGGTAGAATATGATAAACAAGATCAACAAGGAATGGCGGCGTTCCCCACAAGACCCAGCGTTTAACCGTTTTTTCAATGAATTTCTAAATGCATTCTTTGCTCTTAACAACTATACATTATTGAAAGTATTCTTTTTCACTAATTTCAAGACAGTAGATATTTAACTTTATACATTTATTATTATACACTTGAAACTTTTGTATCTACACAAAGAACAGGTTAATCATTCAAACAGAACTTACAATCATTTAAAAAAAAATAAAGACAAGAAACCAAACAAGCAAACTAGAAAAATTAAAATTTTTATGTCTAACTAAGTCTGATGCAACATCGCCACATCATTTCATGTGAGCACAGAAATCTAGTCCACTTTGATAATATATGTAATAAATATATATCAATGCCATTTAATCAAAAATATTATTTCTATAACGTATCTAGCATCACCACTGTCGGAAGAAAGTACCATCAGGACCAGAACGGTAAATGCTGCCGCTGTACTGAGGACCCGAATCGTATGAGAATATATTGACTGATCCGTCGGGAGAACTAAAAAAAACAAAGCTTTAAACTCTCTTGAATGAAGTATAAGAGCTTAAACGAAAGAAAATTTCCAATTACCACTATACAAAGAAATATTTAATTTCTCTGTCCAATTGTTTTTGACTAAAATTTAAAGAAATATGTGATTAAAGTCTTGTTGAAATACAAATATACCGTGTCTATATTAATATCATTTGATAATACATGTTATAGATAACTCGGGGAAAAATACATACTTGTAAACATATCCTCTCCCACCATTAGAAGTTGTGAAACTCCGCCCGCCATTTCTATAAGTTCTGTTGATTCGAATATTTTGGTTACCATTGGTGGCAGCATTTTGGTTACTATTTCGAACAAGAAACTGTCGTTGTCTTGCTATCCTCCTGTTTATTGATTGCCTGTCCAAATCTATTTGTACTTGCATCGACTGCATGTTGGTTCTCATATTTGCAACTAGTCTATTGAGATTTTCCTGCATTCTATTCATCTGCTCAAATAGATTGTTTCTTAGAGACCCTAAAACAATTGTAAATCATTGTCATTTATATGTTTTTACATGTAACAATTCAATGTGAATAAAAGGAACGTGTTTTACCAAAACACTTTTTCTATGAATGAAACAAATGTTTCATTCTTACAAATACTTTTCAAGATGAGATATTGAAATATCACGCTATGAAAGTGCTGAAGGCTCGGTTTCATTGAGAGCCGATAGTTCCCTGGACAATAAGAAGCTCGGCCATAAACACTAACATTCATGGATTCGAGTTTACCAAAAGTTCAAGTTATTGTGCATACTATAACAAGATAAATAAATCAGTCAAGATGAAAAGTGTAAATTTGAAATTATTAATTTAACAGCATTAAGTTATATAGAAGAACATTGTTTAACCCGATTTCTTTCTTAAAGATGCACGCCTTCAGATGAGACAAAGTATTAAAAAAATAAACTTGAAATGAATGTTCTAATAAATCAAGAAGAGTAAAGTTATTCATGAATCAAGTAGTTATTTACATGTTTTGGGAGATTAATGACCGATTGTGCAGTATTTATTACAATATTTCTATTGCGTGACTAGGGCTATTCTTACATTCGTATTTGTATCTCTTATAGGTAATTTACGGGACTGTAAGAGCCGGCTGTAATGTGTAAATCAATTTCAATGTTCAATGTTCAGATCAAAGTATTTTACATTAAAATACATTTTTATAATTTTTCATGATAACGAGCATGAATGTGGAGACAAGCTGCTTTAACTGGTTGGGAATAAACAATTTAAAAGGTTAATGAGGAGATATCGATCAAACATTACGTCTCAATTCCGCTCATAATTGAACATTACTAACCACAAGACATACGATGTTGTCTCAGATAAATAACTGTACAAAAACCTGAATCTTTGAATAATGTTTGGTTAATTAAGAGATATTTAAAAATAGGACTGTAAGTCTGAAATAGAAAAAATATTTTTAGTAGAAGTAACTAACAAATAAATTTGAAAATCAGATGCTGAAATATCAAATTAAGTTAGTATACTGATAAATTAAATACGCGTTTATAATTTAGTTTATTCTATTCCATTACAAAACAAAAAAAACAAAAACATAACAAAAAAAACATAAACGTAGAGCAATTTAAGAAGATTACGATACAAAATGTACTTACATTGTCCAAAGCAACAGTTGAAACAACATATCAATAACATGGTTAACAAGAGAAATTTAACTGCCATGCTTTCTTCCTTGTCTGAAAAATAAAATCATTACATTTAGATAAACCGTTTTACAATTAATTAGTGGACAGTAACATTTAAACATGGCCCACGTTTAACATTCTGCTACAATTGACTGACAAATAGTAACGTGTGTCATCACTAAACAGTGGACTTCAATTAAATGATATTATACTTAAGCTTTTACTTTTAGCCGATGACATGGTTATTTTGGGTGATTCACCAGAACAGATTAACAAAAGTTTAAATCTTCTCTATTCATATTGTGAAAAATGGAGTTTGAATGTTCATATTGATAAAACTAAAGCAATGGTTTTTAGAAAACGCGGCGGGTTGTTATCTAGTATAGAATTTTTGTATAATGGTGAAAAACTCGAAATTGTTAGTAACTTTAGTTACCTTCGACTTGTTTTTAATTACACAGATACGTTTGTTTTAAATCAGGAACAGATAAAAGGAAAAGTTTTAAAAGCATTAAATGTTCAACTTATAAATTGTAAAAAGCATAAACTTAATTCTAAAATATTATGTCAGATATTTGATTCGTTTGTCGGATCCATTCTTTGTTATGCCTCGGAAATTTGGGGAAATAGTAAGTCAAAAGAAATTGAAAGAGTTCATCTTAAGTTTTGTAAAAGAATACTTAATGTTAAAATGTATGAATGTAATGCAGCAGTTTATGGTGAGCTGGCTCGTCATCCTTAATACATTACAAGATATTTACGGATAGTAAAGTTTTGGCTTAAATTATTACAAACAGACAAACTCATTCTTAAAGAAATTTATAACATATCTTATGATGACTGTATAAATGGTAAGAAAAATTGGCTTTCAAGTGTTAAAGATTTATAGTCGTCGTATGGTTTTATGTATGTATGGCAGAATCAAGGGGTTTTATGTAGTAAATTGTTTTTATTAGAATTCAAGTAGCGTGTAATTGATTCTTTTGTTGAAAGCTGGCATGCGGATATTGTGAATAGTCCTGTTTTATTGTTATACAAGGATATAAAAAATGTGTTCCAGTATGAAAAATATCTGGATTTATTACGTAGCAGCCATAGGCGTTATATTAGTAGAATAAGATTATCAGCACATCCATTACTTATACAGTTCAAATAGGATACCAAGAAATGAACGTTTTTGTATCCACGATATTGAAGATGAGTACCATTTTGTTTTGGTTTGCACTTATTACAATGACCTAAGAAAAACATACATTAAGAAATTTTACTATTTTCCTAGTATGTATAAATTTTTAGAATTATTAAATAGTGATAATAAGATTATTTTTCGTAACCTTGCTTGTTATATACGAGAAGCATTGGCTATTAGAATATCAGTTACACATCGTTGAATTCTCGGTTAACCCTCTGTGTAACATAGCGTTTATAAATAAGTATTGATTGCATAATGTCTGACTTTAAATATAGAGTACATTTTGCTTTGCTAATATTTTGATATGATTTGTGTTAACGGAATTATAAATTAATCATTAAAAACATATGCTTTACTAACATTTGACTATGATATTATTATATAATGTGACTTATATTTAAATATATTTAATTGATTGTATTGTGTAAGACGATGTATTTTGTTAAAGTTTCTGTTCAGTTCTGTTCATAATGCGCGGATATTCTGGATAGCATTACTCTTGACAAATAACATTAAGTATAAGAGCTGTGGCTGTGACATAAACTCAAAAATTAATTGTTGATGAAAAAGTTATGTTTGCTATGTAAGAACCAAATGAATATTAAATATGACACCAAAAAAAGAAATACAACAAAATCCCAACAAAACAAACAAACAAACGCGAAACAAAGAAATAAGAAAGAAGGAAAGTAATAAAGGAGTGTTTTTGATATAATTATAAGCCCCCGATGAAGGTCAAACTTATAATGTTTTCTGTTTAATATTGCACAGAGAAAAATATTGTATAGATTGGCAACCTCAGACATTTTGGTGAAAAAACAGAAAGGTACCTATATTTCAAAAGAAGAATTAAAAACCATTTAAAATATTTATATGCTAATTAAATACATTATTTTAACACGATTTCTATTTGTATTGAATTTTTGTTTATGATATGAGTGATTTTATTTATAATGAGAAACTTGATGTTTTCCTCTTGATATATTGCAGATATTTGGTTATTATTTGCTGATTTTCATATACGAAGGAAGGTTCACAAATACTTCTTAACAAATTAATTCAATATTATACTGAGCTGGGTCTTAATTCACTTCTAATGTTAATAAAACTGTTACAATAGTTTTCAAAACCTGCAATATGAGTGATAATGTTATGTACTGTCCATGTACAGGCTTATGTAGACCAAGAATGCAACAAGAATGAACGAAACTAAATTAAATGGAAATTTGAAAAGTAACTAGAGGTTATGATGAAATGAACATAGCATATTCAAATATATATCTTTTGTCAAAAATAACTTGTTACATTTCTACTCCTTGATATTTTAAACATACAACTTGTTAACCGTTTCTAAATGCCTAAGGTCTAAACTGTGAATGTACTTACCAAAGCTAGCTATGAATCTAGTAAAACATATTCTATGTCAATGTTGCTATACACATGAAGCGATGAAAAGAGTCACATCCGATCATTATTTTTTAAGTATTTTTTTTAAATGAAATTGCGCTTAATGGTGAAGATAGTTATAGGAATACACCGGAATCTTCTCGAAGAATTCATATCTTTACACATAATACATAAGATAAATTAGTACTTACGGTTTATTGTCCTAATTGCCAATAACCACAAGTTACAAGTCGGTGGAGGACACGCTAGATTACGTTTTTCACCTTATTCGACACTATATTTTCGGAAGATAAATCTTTTTTTCCCGTTTATTGTTTTTGCATCCTTCGGTATTGGCACGCCCGGACTATTGTCTCGATATGTCAACATTAAATCTTCCTAATATATAATGATAAATGTGGAAATAATAGTTTTGTCATATATATTTAGGAGAAAAAATACATTGGTAAATTTAAGCTATGAAATACTAAATAATCTCATAAATTATATGATATAACTATTAAATTGTTAGAAGGTTAATACATAAATCACCCTTAATGCGAAAAATTACCCTGTAGTTTATGGACCTACTTAAACTTGAAGGAATAATTGCTATTTTGTTATTTAAAAACAGTCTCTCCAAAAAAAAAAACAGTATATTTAATCACAACAATCAAATAATGTGTCGTACATTATCTAAAATAATAAAAATGACTGTATTCCATTTTTTGTCAATGACTTTACATTTTTTTTATCTTTCAACAAGAAAGCAATCCAGTTTTTTTCGGTATAACACACACTTTTTAAAGAATTTATGTCATTTTCCGATTTATCCAAAAATGTGTAAGATTATTTATAAAAATACAGCGTTTCAGACAAGTCCAAACAAAAACTAAAAAGAAAATATCTGGCTTCATCTCATTTATGAAGCATAATAACTATTTTTTGTCGCGTCACTTTCTTGAGTAGTTATAAAACGTCATTAAGTGATCAATCTGTTTATAAGAAATATTAACATAATAGCCATATTTTCGAAATTCGAATAAATGTTTGTGAAGTTCAGTTCATCACGATGTATGCTAATTTAGAGGTTTCTTTTTATCCTCATTGCTTGTACAAATGTTCTTCCTCACCTTTATTCGACCTACTGAACTTTCCATGCATATAATAATAATGGTTATAAATGGCCCATTCATATCACTTCATTTCCTTATCTTCATTCTTTAAATTAATTTCATACCTTAGAAAAATAGATAGATAAATGAAATAAATAAATAAGTAAATAAATTGATAAATAAATAAATTAATTAATAAAAAAATAAATCAGCAACATAGGATAATATTTTCAGTCACCTCTTTGTACTCATTGTTATCACATATGAAAAAAAAAACGTCAACTTTCACGATTGAATGTTATATGATACGAAAACATAAGTGATTGGTTCCAATGAATTAAATACAGTCTTAGGGCATATCTCGATCCCGAGAACTTACAATTTAAAATTCGACCCCCCCCCCCTAACACTAACTAAACTAAAAACTAGTCTATTAAGCTTTTCCTGCATTTTTGCCTGCATTTTTCCTGCATTCTGATCAAATTGAGTGTTTCATAGAAACCCTTAATTGTTTCAAATCATTTCTTTACATTAAACCATTTACATAAATGTCGTCGCCTAACTCTAAAAGTGTCCTATGTCCATTTCTGCAAAATTTGAGATAAATGAACCATTCTTTTTTTACCTTACATTGCTCTATCTTTTAAGCTTTGGGTTCAAGGTTATGATGACCTAGAAACGGAGTTATCGAGTATGAACTTCGCTTTATGTCCACATTTCGCATGATTGTTTTATCCTTATAGTAGGGTATGTACGTTACTTAGGACAATTTTATAGTGAAACCTGAAATAAGCCAATCAAAACACAAACTGATGGTCAGGTGACCTTGGTCTTTTTCGCAATGATAGTGCGCTAAGTCAAAACTTCCGGTAGAGAATTTTCTTGCCAATATTTTTTGTAATGCCATTGATTGTGTTTCCAAGCAAGATAAAGTAATAATATGTGAGTATATTAAACTAAAATCTCTGTACGTGTAACTGCAATTTGCTTTTTTAATGTCGAATGAACTGTAATCTCAGAATTTTAAGAAGTTTTGCAAAACCTAGTAATATAATTCGGATAAACAATATTTCGGATACATAAATAAGTAAATTTTAAGTTTACCTTTTCATTTTTATCGTGAGCTATGCTAAAATCATTGATATTATAATCTACTTAAATTTAAATATGATTATAGTTTAAACCTCGTGTTGTTGCCCGACGGCGTCTTAATACACACTTTGGGCTATATCGGCATTCAAGATCTGTTGACAAAAGTGAACAAAGTTTGTAGAAAATTTAACGATTTGATAAGCAATTGTCAAGACTTTAGTGTGATTTTGAGATTGATTATCCTATAGTGTCACTACTCTCTGGACACAGTTGGATATAATGTAAATTGAATGAACAAGTCGCTGGACGAGGATCTAATGAACTTGCTAGTGCTGTAACTGTTATTTTAGAAAACGCGTTGAAGGCTCATCCTCATGTTAAGAAAATAACGTTGTGGTCTGATAGTTGTGTACCACAAAACCGGAACAGCATGCTTTTACCACTGCTTTATAACTATTTCAACAAAATTATCCTGAAGTGGTTGAAATTGTTCATAAATTTTGTACTCCTGGACATTCCAGTATTCAGGAAATTGATAACATTCACTCACATACAGAGAAAAAGCTGAAAGTTTCTGAAATTTACAGTCCTCGAAGTCTAATTAGAAAACTTAATCAAGTCCGTCCGGATAAAAATTTCGTGATTTTTGACTATCGAACGGTTGCAGAGAAATTCACATTAAACTCTGTCCCATTTACAAGAGTTAAAGCATTGAAATATGTGAACGGATTGCCGTTTCAAGTGTTTTTAAAGAGTCATTTGATGTCCAGTACACAGAGGCGACAATTCTAAGGACAACAAGGTTATCTTGTAAAGTAGACCTACTTCCTTTGCCTAAAATTCTAAAATGTGGAAAGGGTTTGTCTGATGACAAGAAAAAAGATACAGAAACCATGCTATGATTTATACCGACAGAGGATCGCATGTTCCTGAAAAGTCTGTGCAAAATATAAACCTTTATAAGTGCAAGTGCTATAGTATTACGTAAACAGACATCATAGGAATTTGATCATGGTATTATTCTATAACACAATTTATCAAATACTCAACTACATCTTCAGGTGATTAATATTATGTTTGAGAAATTTACTAAACTCAATGTTATGATGAGACATTGGAATATATTTTCTTTTTTGACGTTGTACTTTGGAATCATGTATGACGAGACGCTGTTTTATGTTTTTGTTTAATACAGACATTTTGCAATAATGTCAGTTGTATAATTATGTTAATACATTCAGATTGAGATTTTGCAAAGTAACATGCTGTATATGCAAATATAAAGACAATTTTATACCTTTTATATGATGTATATCTATATTTGTCTATAATTAAGATATGTTTCTTTGTTACGCAACTTACGATCAGTATTTATGTTTAAGATATCAATTTCTATTTGTCATGACAAGAAGTCATATTTATAAATGATACAAAAGTTATGATAAACAGTTAAAAATTGTTTAACTTGTTGTGACTAAATATCTGGGGACCAATATCATAAATTCTTAACACTTTAGGTTTGATGCATTACGTTACGTTTAGTTCGGTTTTCTGAATTTATTTTCCCATAACTTATTTAGCAAGTTTTATACTTTTATACAAAGAAACACCTAGTCGCTCATTTGCGTTGAAAAATTATTGCGACGGCTTGTAATGATTTACAATAAAATCTAATTGCACATACGGACAAGTATAATAGGTTAAAACATCCTGTGTATGTAATAATTTCTACCATTAAAGCATCGTATCTCTGGCTTCTTCATTTAAATTTGGTATTACTTTGCTCTATCTCCAATGACGCACTTTTAGAGTGACTGTTTAAGAAATATTTTGACCTTTTGCTCTATCTCAATTTTTATTTTTTTCATATTTACTCTCAGTCTTTCTCCAGAAAGAAAAACAAACACTTTTTTGTGTGCATTAAAATCCTAAATATAGATGTGTGAAAAATTTCAATTCAGTGGGGTCACGTGGAAAAAAAATATTAAGATGCAAAATGTTTAAAGTCTTTCTCAAAATAGCATTTTGGCAGTTAGGACATTTTAAGGGTAAGCCAACGATGTATATAACAATTCAATACAATTTAATGGCTGAATAAGTAAAAGTAAATATAAATGTACGTTATAGATTTTAACATTATGCATGTTTGTGAATAAAAACAACAAATAAATTACAAAATCAAAAACATCATGCTATGAAATTGTTCCTGGCCAGTTTTCACTGAACATGGACAATAAGTTAAAGTTACCGTCCAAGCCCCGTCACCGGCTTAATCAGCATTAAACACTAAACATGAAAATGATAGACTCGAGAGATGTGTTTATACGGTAGTGATCATAGGGCCTTCCATGAGACATTGAATGGCACATTCAATGAAAAAGGGGCATTCCACTAACGTTCATTTATGGCAATCGACAGTTAAAAAAATAGTCAATCCATTACCCATTAATCAGTCAAAATTAAATTTGACAATGTGTTATTATCAAAATTAAAAAGAAAAAGACGTGCAAGAATATTCGATATTGATTCACGTCCGGTCGAAAGTATATACCTTGTTTAGTTACTGGCAGTGTAAATATCAAATAGTTTGCTTAATATTTATTCTGCTCATAAATAATGCCAAGATAAACGGTGTTTCGTCAGGAAAACAACTGTGGAAAGTGAAACTTTGAATGATTTACATTTAAGTCGAGGCAATAAGCAAGCCTGAAATAGTAATCCGATTTTATAAGCAGTATTTAAAGTCATCTGCGCATGCGCACATATGCTCGCCCATATGGTCTCTTTCCGATTGCAAGGGTAAACAAACCAAAACACACATCTGCGTTCAGCGTAGAAATCAGATTGTTGGTATTCAGTTATTTCCAAACGAATATACTTTACATTATCTCCAAAAAGCTGTTATATGTCTAGGCGTTCGTGGTCGAGTGGTTGACTTCAACTGGCCTCAAACCGCTGTAGATTCGAGCTGCACAAGCGTCGCCGGATTCTACATGACTGTGAGAAAGATATCCAGCCAGTTTACAGAACGTCGCTAGTTCAACTGAGATGTCCTTTTGTTCCTGAAATAATGTACAGAGTGGCATCCGATGTCTTCGTCCAACAGTAAAGCTGGAGAATCGCCATATGACCTGTCGTGTATTGCTGCCACGTAAATTACCCCCCCCCCGTCAAAATAAAAACATATTTGAAAACAAAATAATTTGATAATCTTTTTGCATTACCTGTACCAAACGCCCAGATTTAACGATCATAAATACGGGTCATGAAATACGTGTACTTTGTGAGCAAGGAAATGGAAAATATTTCGTTCTAAATCTAATACAAAAAGCAGTATCAAGTTTTATTAAAATATCTTTTTCATTTCAAACGTTGTCAAGCTAATCGACGTTTTTTTACTGATCTCACTATCTACCATTCACGTCTGTATGTTCCTCCTGGCCCGAATGAGTAGGTGAAGCCATGTGAAGGGCCACCTGAGCTAAACGAATACGAGCTTGATGAACCATCGGGTGAGCTGCAATATATACGCATGGGTAATGCATTACCAAAATGTTTCAACTTGTTATCAACATTTTATTATGTACATTATGAGTGAATGCTATGGATATATAATTATATGGAAGATAATCTAAATACACTCTTTCATAAATGAATGTTCAAATTGCTGCTATGGACTACACTTATTGAACAGTTTTTATTTTTTTTTATTAGGTAAATTGTCGAGAAAGACATATACTTGTAAACATATCCGACACCGCCGTCAGGTGTTCTAAATCTTGTTGCACCAGGACCATAGCGTCTACCAGCCTGAGCTCTGCTCATGCCCTCCCTCATCATTGCATTGTTCATGGTTTGTATTCTGTTCAGATTATTCGCAATCTGCTGCATAAAGTCCATACCTGGAACTTTTGAATTAATTAAAACGCAACTGATTAGTATTATAAGAATAGGCTTGCCGGTACAGAACAAAATTTTAGCCCGAGGGTTACCCGAGAGCTTGATATTTCTGTCTGTGACGATAGCCAGTGTTTGATACTTTTTCTTACATATAAGCATTCCTCGAAAAGAAATAACGGAAACTAATTTTTTTATTAGTACTTCTATCTAATAACGGGGTATAAATTCATAATATTATAAATAATAGAAAAATGACGTCATCTAAAGGACGCAATTCATTTATAAAAGCCGCACGGGAAAGACGTCATTTAAGGATTTAAAGCACGCGACTTGTTTTACACGGAGAGGGGTGGAAGACAGGATTTTCTAGCTCCGGTGATCACAGTAAATAACCTGTTTGATATGCAATAAATATTAGTTTCAGATATACAATTGATAAGAACTTTCACACAAATAACAACTATTATTCGTTACGATTTATACAAAATAAAACTGTTTATTTGAACTCTTATTTTGGGAATTTTAACGAAATGTTTAATACTTATGACAAAAAATAAGTACACTGAATTCCTGTAACATTGCAATTATAATTGTTTTAATTGTTTAAAGATATAAATAGCACGTTCGAATACTCTCAATAAGACAATACCACAGGGATACATTGTTAAAGAGATGCCTTAGACTGACAAAAAAGATTCTCAATATATTAAAAAAAATCAATGTCAACTTAAGCACTGAAAAGAACATTGATTTTTCAGTTAAAAAAGTTATAACAAAAATATGATATTCATTTGTAACAGACTAGACATAGTGTTAATTTAAATTACAATTGGTATACTATATATGTATCACTTTTTGCGAGGCACAGCCGTCACATCCAATAATGACTATGCGTTTTTCACGTTATTCATAGCTCTATTTTCTTCATGATCGAAAAAATGTGCCTTTTAATATTCAAAATTAGAGCTAAATAAATCAATTGCTTGATAATATGAATAAATTAACAGTCATTTATGAAAACCCTCCATAACAAAACCATTAGGAAACCATCTGCTACCATATGGTATAAATAAATGTCTACCATTATTTTACCACATGCGACATGTAGGCGTATAAATGTTTGAAACGCTATGAGCAATTCAAAACAAACAATTACTACTCTGTAAATAATGTTAAATACGTTAAATATGCGGACTCAAAATACTATCAATCAATTACCAGCTGGTAATTAACATTATAATAATGTCTCCTGGGTTAATGTTGTTATAAAGCAAAACCATTACTGCATCGTCATTTTAAACTTATAAACTTAAACATACTTGATATTTTCACATTTATTTAGGCATAAAAAATTAAACAGGTGTACAAACATGACTAGCTTCATTTATTTTTAAAATCAAAATATTGCGCTTAATAGTCTATGTACTGATAATTAGTGTTTAATACTTAGAAATGTTTGAACCTGGTTTAATGCCGTTTAAGTATGGATCTTGGCTTTTCCACCTATCCTGCTAAGGATTCTTTCAGTTCTTGGACATCAACTTCATGAGTTTTTGTGATAAAATGTAAATTACAATTATGCCGCGTCACGACAAAACCAACATAGTGCGTTTACGACCGCGCAGTCTGATCAATGCTGTTCGTTTACAAACCGTATAACAAGTAGGAACAGCAGCGGATGCGCAGGCTGGTCTGGATCCATGCTGGTCGCAAACCCATTATGTTGGTTTTGTCATGACGCGGCTCAATTATTGGAATTGATTATTTGGTTCAACATGCAAGCAAAAAATAACTTTGAAAAGCATGTTTTCAAAAAGTGGACTAGCTTTCAGTATTGTTTGAGTACTTAACTTCGAAATTACTTAACTTCGAAATTTCATTCAAAAATTAGAATTGTATTACTCACTTTGACCTGCAATTCCGACCACACATACAACGAATATTACACAACACACAAGCTTTTTTATCATCCTGAAACCTACAATACAGATATAAAAAATTGAATTGCTAAATCCATTATCATTTCATTTCTACTATAAACACACTGTTACATATTAAGCACTCCCAAACATGGGTTTCTGTTACAAAAAAGTATCCATTTTAACGAGTTTTTGTGAAACAAAATGTACATAGTACTATTATGGCGAGGATTTTGTTGACATGTTTATTTCTGTATTCATCTCATTCCAGAAAGATGACCTCAGAATATTTTTTTTTCCAACGAATCTCGTGGAAACGAGATATTTATGTCGTTGGAATGAGATTATGTTTTCACGCACGAGAAGGTGCCCGAGAAAAAAATTATTGAAGGGTACCTAAATCTTCCTCCGCCATTTTAGCTGAAAAGTCGCTATATGACCATGAAAGATTCAGTGTCACTTAAAAATCCGCTGTCATTAACTCCTAATATTCTGAAAAACTCAACTTAAATGGCATACATATCTTTCAGAAACATTACGTATCTGTAATTAATGAAATTTTATCAAACATAGAATGTTTATTCTTTATTTTAGCTAACAGTGTTGTTTTTCTCTCATTCACTGACAAGATGCTTACGATATAAAAAATAAAAATGCAATTTGAAAATATTATGCAATAATTCAAATAAAATATAAAAAGATAAACAAATGAACAAACAAACCACAAAACAACGACAAAACAATACCATACCTCACATTTGATATGATTCCGTTTTGCAAACCTCTTGGCGAATGATTAAACAACACGTTGTTTATAACACGTCATTCCTCCAGATCAAAACTGCGCAGCAAATATCTGATATCAAGCACGATTCAATAAGAGGTGCTCATTTATTTTGACATAACAGGAACAACTTAATTTTTGAATGTTACATGGAAAAAAATAGACGTTATGTAGGAAATAAATAAAAACGTAAATGCTAAATTGATTTAATGATGTAAATAGATAATTAATAGTTCAATTTAGTTGTAGTATATTCGGTTTAATATACAATTTATTAGACGCACAATCATTTTTGTTTTCATTTGAAAGATAAAGTTTTTTTTTATTATATGGAACATGCGCTTTTAAACAATTTGAAAAAAGCGCTATTAAGATAAAGGACAAAAAAAAACATGCAGTTGAATTGATCTTTTGATATTTGATATTTTTACTATCATGAAACAAAATAACTTAGCACTTAAAAGAACTAAATTGTTTAAACTGTAGCTTTAATCGATATGAGTTGGTCTGAATGAAATAAACGGAAATACTACAAAGTTTTTGTCTGTTTAAAGTTAAAACGTTTTACAACATTAGATTTGCGCATTTTTATAGTGCAATTTAGACACATAACAAAAGGATTCTTTCTTTATACACTTCCCCAGAAATTTTGTCATGATTCAACAATTTTCGGTTGACAAAAAGGTTAATGAAGGACCATTTTGGAAATCTTGCTCTACAACGAGGTCATATGACAATACGATCGCAGCAAACGACATATCACTTACAACCTACATTCTATTTCCAGACGTTTTTTCCCCTACTATCTCCTCACAAATCTATAAAAGGTCATTAATTGGCCCAGTGTAAAGCGGTATGCTAAAAGTCTTGTTTCTCGCTTGAATGTCACCTCCTTTGAAAAAACTAATTAACAGTATGCAATCCGATCACGACAGTAAGCCACATTGAATTTACCAAAGCACAGTTCAGCCACCGTATCGTTCCTGCGCAGACTTTTAAGCAGTTTACCAGTACAAGTTGCCTTCACTTTCGCAAGAAACTGAAAACTTCTGTGCATGCCAGAGCAGAGGTACGGTGCAAATGACCGTAGAAAAGATTTCATGATCATTCATTACAAAAGTGACCAGGATTGCCCGATTTAGAGTCAAACACTCTACTTTTTGAGCGGACAGTGCGTACGACCAAAAAGCCCGTTCCACGTTTATAGCACTCTGTAAAAGTATATTTTTGTCTGATTTGTGGAAAAAATTTTTTTTAATTTATAGCCATCCTCATTATATATCCATTTAAGTATAGATTAAATAAAGGTTTCGTTAGTAATAAAAAATATACACCTTTGCTTGTAATTTCCTTAATTCTAAAACGTTTTCATGCCTTTATTTCTTACTGTACTTTAGCTAAATAGCCCCACTCTGACAAGCATGCTGACAATGATAATTTTGATTGATGTTTAAATGAACACAGCATACATATCAACTCAGAATACAAATTAAATGTTGATGCTGCACGTCAAAGACGCCGCAAAATAAAGTTCCAATAAGCATTATTTATAAAGATATTTAATTTACCCAATTTAACATTTCATGTAAATAAAGGGAGGTAATTAGAAATTTATTTTCTAAGTTAAATTTTCCAATAAGAAATGAATACATGTAATTTATTGATTAAATATAATGTGCACAAATATTTGCAGTACACATTTGACATATTCCTCGATGTTTGAAAATTGTTTTATTTGCATAATTATATACACATATAATTTTTTGTAAGTGTGGTATACACACAGTAACAATATCAATCACAAATCATACAGGATCTTTAACAAAAACAAGACTAAAATTTTCTCCATTGCTGACTGAACAAATGCATATCTACTAGACGCCACGTGCACGCGAAGTCTAACAAAATGGAAAATCAAGAAAGATAACAAGTAAAAGATATCGTCGAAGGATTTAAACATTTATTTTCCTTTGAAAAATGCCACCGAATAGAATAGTAGTAGGCATTTAGTTCTGTTAACTTGAACACAGTGACCCAAAACTCCATGTTGAAATTACAAGATTTATAAAGGTATGCACCTTATATGAAAGACATCTAGTTAATAAAGGCCATAGTGTAAAAGTGTACATTGATCACCAGTAAACTTTACTTTGAACCAAGTGGCCCGTTGGCCCAGCCTAAATAAGAGGACAGCCCAAGGTAAATTCCTACAAAATGATATTGAGAAGTAAGGCGATACGTAAAGTTATCATGTTTTAATATTGGATTTTTGATATTGTGCTTAAATCTTCTGACAATTTTTTTTGGAAAAAAATACACAAAATACTCAAATAAAACTACAGACAAAAAATTGTCATAGAACGAAAAAGTAAAATAAATGCTGAATTAAAAGGGAATGTCTGATGTTTGGCTTCAACACGATACTATAAATAAATATAAATATAAGCAAACTCTAATTTAAATATATATATCTTAAAAGGGACGCAACCCGAACAACAATATGTATAGTGTATATAACGGTTATGTCATCATAGTCATGTATAGTCTCCGTAAAATGGCAAAATGATAACGTATAATCAAACGTGTGTCATGAGATGAGCGCAGCGTTATTAAAATAATTTCGTTTCCCATGTAGATATACAAATATGTATATTAACCATGTTTTGCCAGCTTAAAGTAGATTGAAAGGTTGAAAATGCAAATTTATTCCTTACCTTAATGTAAATAGATTAAAAGATCAATACATGCAAAATTGGAACAGTGAGTGTTAGGAAACAGAAAACTAGTAGTCTATAGAAAGCTTAAATGTAATATTAATTTTGAAAAATATCTGGACTGTATAGATATATTGAAATTAAGGAGTAGTCTTGCTGCTTTTAGGTCCTCTTCATAGAGAAAGGAAGACACATAGGTATTCCTAGGGAAATCCGTTTCTGTATACACTGTCGGTATGAAATCGAATGTGAATTTTATTTTCTGTAAAAATGTCCTTAATATGATAATTTACGTCAACAGTTTAAACCAAATAAGTATTGGGAACATCCAAATAATCATAAATTTAACTTATTAATGTCATGCAAAAGTGTTAAGACAATACAAAACTTATCAATGTTTTTTATATTATGCATTTAAACTGCAAAATGAATTTATATCTTAAATGTCTTTATGTAAGTTGCTAAATTTTAATACACAATTACATGTTTTGTGATAAAATGGCTAAAATGCTGCTCTGACAACATGTCATTGTACTTTATACAACGTAATATAATCCTAACAAGCTGCCATGACAATATACTATAAGTATATATTTTATGTATTCATGTGTATGGGCCGGTGGCATGAATGCAAATTTGAACTGGTCTATATTTTATATTCTTTTAAATATATATAATATATACATGTCAAGTTCTAAACAATATTTACAATCTTAACATGCTTTTTGTGTTTATTTTATCCCCAGTAAATCTTTAATATTTGAAAGCGTTTATGATACTTGTGCTGTAATGTAACTATGTCTAGTTGAAATACTGTTTGATGCTTTTCATCACATTTTATTTAATGTTTAGGGACACAAATACATAAATCAACACATCTCTTGGCAAATGATTTGAAACAAAATAAAATTAAACTGAAATGCAAAATGAAATAAACTGTTAGCAAACGGAGTACATAACAAGATATAAAAGGCTGTCATTAAACATTTAAATGAGAAATGCATTTCCTCATGTCTGCCAATAACTCATTTATTTACATAAAAACACATAAAAGCTGCATTTACTCACTGCATACCACAGTTTTAATCTCAAATTTGATATCTGAATCTCTTTTACATCCCTACATGAATAATGTAAATAACTCAATAAGAAAATGCAATTTACAATAATACATAGTTTACAATTGAATCTTGATATGAATTCAGTCTTAACTGTTTTAATACAAATGCCATTATTTCGTTCTAAATATAATTGCTAATACTCCTTACAAAATGAATTATTAAATGTTAACAAATCAATGCGCGTTTTCCTTACAACTATATTAGAAGCCTGTGGTCCAGGGGTAACATGCTCGCTTAAAATTTGATCGGTCCAGTGTTCGAGGCCCAGTACAGGAAATTGGATTTTGTCGTCATATTTAACTCTTTCTCAAGAAATAAACCATTATATGCAAAGTTAAAGTGTGCTTGTATGTTAAAAAGATATAAAAATGTACATTTTCAATGCAAGTTAGAAACTCTTGTCAGGCAAAATTCTATATGCCAGTTTAATTCAAGTGCATGCAGCTTTGTTTGACTTATGAAAACAGTACTAATTTGTATAAAACAAGTTTAAAACGGTGTGCATTTAAACAATTACATTATCGTATCGTTGTTTTACATTTTTTTCACATTGAATTCAAGTCGGGTAATAGTTTAATGTTAAAACGCAAAATATTTCTTTGATATAACTATTTTGAATGTCCTATAGTGGAGTTATTACTTCAGGTCATATAATGTCACGGATCAATAACATATAAATACATCGGCGCATATTCATAATTATTAGTTATACTTTAATGTTGCTTAAACTGGTGCTAGCGAGCGTGGATGACAGAATACACAATAACATTACAGTTGAATAGAAACCAAATACATTTTACTTTAACCATTGTGCTGGTCTTTAAGATCTTTATTTCTCCTGTATTGATGTATAAATCATCATTTAAGATAATAAAAAAATGTATATATGTTGTTATGATTTGCTTTGAGATTTATTCTTTATTTTATATTTCAATGTTGAACAACATTTCCCACTGTAGAAGTAATAA